CTAATTTGGTCTGATTTGGATTGCTGCGTCAGCAGAGAGGCTTATCGGGGTCCAAAAACTTTTCACTTTCCTTAACTTAAATTATCCCGTCTACTTTTTGCCTCTGGGCTTTTTCCGTTCTCTTACTTCTGTAAATCTTACTCTTACTCCGTGGCATGCTGTGTAGCTGGGTGGCTGGGTAGCTGGCCCCTGGGTCCTTCTCCTTCTCTGGCTACTTCTTTTTTCCTCCCAGGTTTCTCCTTCTATATATTCTCTCTGCCTGCCAACCCCACCTGTTTCCTCTCTCCTGCCTTGCTATTGGCCATTCAGCTCTTTATTAGACCATCAGGTGTTTTAGACAGGCACAGTAACACAGCTTCACAGAGTTAAACAAATGCAACATAAACAAAAGTAACACACCTTAGAATAATATTCCACAACACACTCATGTGAAGGTGGCAGCAGTAACAGATGGAAGTGCCCAGTCAGTCATAGGCGTTCACTAGACAACTACAGTGCACCGCCTTCCTAAGTGTGACATTTGGCAGGTTGGGGGACGGGGTTAGTTACTTTCTGTTCCTGTGATAAAACACTTGATGGGGAGCCTATGGAGCTGGCAGACCTGGACTAATTCTCTGAGGCTGGCCAGGGGGAGCTAAACTTAACTCTCTGGGGCCAGCGAGAGAAAACACTCTCTCTCTCTCTCTCTCTCATCTTCCATCTCAGTTCCTTATTTCTTTTCTTACCTCTGTCTAGATGTCTCCCTCCTGTCTCTCTTGATGATTTCTTTCTAACTAACTTTGTTCTTTCCCTTACAGCTTATATACTCCAGCAACATCTTTCAAGCAATATAAAAATTACAATGTGGTTACATTCTATTTTTCAAGTAATGAAATACAGGAAATGAAACAGCATGTTTGATTGTAATGAATACAGGTAAGAAACAGATTGTAATGAATACAGGTAAGAAGCAGCATGTTTCCATATCCCTTACATGATTAAACATTTTACATTTACATAAACATTAAACATATTACGGGCGGAAAAACAAGTTATCCCAAGAACCCACACACATTCATACCCAAGCAACTTATGATAGATTAACAGAGTGTAAGCAAGCAAGGTATTTTTCTCAGTCAGTTCTTTTGCTGGCAGGCTGCATTTTACAGTTACAAAGAAAGGACCAATCGCTTCTTTTTATAATTTTATTATTATTATTATTATATTTTTGTGCATTGGTGTTTTGTCTGCATGAGAATGTTGGGTACCCTGGAACTGGAGTTACAAACAGCTGTGAGCTGCCATGTGGTTGCTGGGAACCGAACCTAGGTCCTCTGGAAGAGCAGTGAGTGCTCTTAACCGCTGAGCCATCTCTCCAGCACTAGGACCAATCACTTTATTACTTATCTCAAAGGGCAATCTTATAAGAAATCTTAGAAGAATCACAAACTTAAGCTCTTATATATGAAAAATGATCAGTTAGCTCCACTTTTACTCCTCAGGGTGCATACCCACTCATCAACAGTTTTTTACATCAGGACATTGAGGGCAGAAATGGGTACAAGGAATTAATCATCACCTTTGATCACCAACCAATCCTAGAAAGAAAGGTCCATCCACTAATAATAATTAGGCTGCTTTGTTCTTGTTCCCTGACCCTAATGAGTCCCTCACACAACCATGTGCCTTTTTAAAACTTTAGATGGTTTCCTTGGATTTTTCACCCCAAAGCTATTTAACAAAACATCTTAATCTAACCTTAGGTTTTTTGTTTTGTTTTGTTTTTGTTTGTTTGTTTGTTTGTTTGAGACAGAGTTTCTCTGTGTAACAGCTCTGGCTGTCCTGGATCTCACTTTGTAGCCCAGGCTGGCCTCAGACTCACAGAGATCCGCCTGCCTCTGCCTCCCAAGTGCTGGGATTAAAGGTGTGTGCCACCACCGCCCGGGCTACCTTAAGTTATTTTTAAAGCTTTGTTTCAGCTATGATGCACTCTGAAACCTGTGAACACATCTCCCAACATGATTAAAAGAGTTTAAGCTAGCTGGGCTACTGGGACTCAATTGTCTTTTCTTTCTTTCTTTCTTTCTTTTTTTTTAGTTAAAAAAATTTTTTATTCATTTTACACACACAGATCCCCCTCTAACCCCTCTTCCCACTCCCCCTAGCCTCTCCCCCATGCCACCCGGCCCCCATCCCCTCCTCTAAAAGGGTAAGGCCTCCTAAAGGGGAGTCAGCAAAGCCTGGTACATTCAGTTGAGGCAGGTCCAAGCCCCTCCTCCTTCAACTGTTTTTCTTAAGCCACAATCTATGTGACTCCTCCATAGAAACTCCTGTGTTCTAGCTGTGTGATGCTTCCTTGTTTTATTTTTTCTCCTCTGCAGCCTCTGCTCTGTCAGAGGCAGGGGCAACCTTTTATCCTACCTTTACCTATGTTAATTCTTCCATGAAACTAACCTCTATCATAATCTCTTATTATGTTTATTAAAACCCTTCAATCATCAAAATTCTATTTAAACTGGCACTACTACTGTATCAAATCATTGCTTCAGTTCATCAGCACAGTTGGGATAACAGGTGTGCACCATTGCATCAGTTTTTAAAGTGTGGGGGGCGTGTAATACAGGGCTGCATGCATGCTGAGGGGGTCCTCTACCAACTGAGCTACATCTCCAGCCCTTTCACCTACATTAGACGGCCATTGGCAGTGTCTACATCAAACACACTAAAGCCATTGCTCAGTAATTACGTTCTAAGGGGTAATGGCCAGAGTAAAAAGTGTGGGAGTCTAGAAAAAAACAAATACAAGCATACAACTTCTTCAAGATTTATTTTTATTTAGTCATGAGTCTGTGAGTGTGTGTGTACATGTGTGGTTGCACATACCTGTGGGGGCCGAGGCCAGAAGAGCATGTTGGATCCCTCAGAGCTGGAGTTACAGCTATTCATGGGATTCCCAGCCTGTTACTGGGAGTGCTGGAGGTCCAAATGCCATCCCTCATGATTGCACAGGAATGCTCTTAACCACCGAGTCATCTCTCCAGCCCCCTGTTCATACCAATTTTATGTATAGCCCCAAATTGGAAACCAGGGAAATCATCACAAACAGAAGAAAGCATAAACAAACTATAAACCACACAGTCCCCCTTCACAGAGCCTAGTCAAAGAACTGTACATACATTGGTGTATGATCCAATCCCTGCTGGAAGGCCTGACTGTGATTAATTAACACGGCCAAGGGAACTCCTTAATGTCGCATAAAATAAAGTTTGTTTTGGTTCCCCTTTAAAAATTAGTGGTGGTTTTTTGTTGTTTTGTTTTGTTGTTTTGTTTTTTTGTGGCCTCAGCAACCCAACTTGTCCTGCATACAGTTTGCATGTTTAATTAGCGATCCTTCGGTGTCTCCAATTAGCATCAAGACAACTGTTAAAATAACTCCTTTAAAGCTCTATTTAGCTATCAGAAGCGCACAACCAGGTAAAATTAATTCATCATGAATAAATCATGACTGATTGACTAATCTGTTTGTTGCTAACACATTACAGAACAGCTCCCACCTGAGCACAGCTAATTTTTCTCTGCTGGACAGAGCCGGAAGCTGACACCAAACCAGCCTGTGCCAAAGTGCACTTTTCAGCAGCGAGTCCATCGGTGCCATCGTCGGAGAGCTTCCGAGCTGTTGCGTTTAAATGCCACTGAGCCGCAGAGGTGATTGTCAAGAGGGTGATGGAAATGGCCGCTACATCTGGAAGACTGAGCGCAGGGTGAGCCTCACTCTACCCCGTCGCCTAGAGGGACTGATTGTTAAAACTCAAAGTACTGACCTCAGTCCTCAGAGCTCCAGACCCGGGTGGTCCAGAAGAGGGCCGGTGATTTTGCTTTTCTAGCAAGTTCCCATATGGTGCTGATGCTGATGGAGGGATCCTGCTCAGGGAACCCGCCCCGCCCCCCATCCCTTCCTATTCTGCTAGGGATGATTTACAATTGCTGTGATTTCCCAAGTCCTTTCTATAGATTCTAACAGGTTTGTTGTAGTTTGGGGCTTCTGAAGCAGGGTCTCAGGGAGCTCGTGCTGGCTTCAAATTCGTTGGTGGGACAGCTGCCACCATTGGCCTTGAAATTCTAGTCTTGCTGCCTTCCCCTCCCTGGTGCTAGGTTTACAGGCACCGACCATTGGGCCTGGCAGCATGGTGGCAAATTCCCATAGTCCTAGCTCTCACTGTCTACCTTGAGGCTGAGTCTAAGTGTTGGCCACTGTGTTGTATATGCCAAGCTAGTTGGACGTGAGTTTCTAGGTAGGTGGGAAGGGGGTAGGTAGTGGAGAAGGAAGGATAGGGGTGCGGGGCGGACCCTCCCATCTTTTTTGGGGGGGGGCATGTTTTTTTTTTTCTCGAGACGGGGTTTCTCCATGTTGTTTTGGTACCTGTCCTGGATCTCACTCTGTAGACTAGGCTGGCCTCGAATTCACAGAGATCCTCCCGGCTCTGTCTCCCGAGTGCTGGGATTAAAGGCGAGCGCCACCACCACCTGGCTGAATTCTCCCATCAGGACAAAGGTATACTGGGATTACAGCCATCGACACCGCATCCATCTTTTATGTGGATTACAGGGACCCAAACTCAAGTCATAAGGCTTACCCATCAAGCCCCCAGCCCACTTCATACATTTTTTCTTCTATTCATTTTCTGAGCTTTGTCCTAGGTTTTAGTTATTATACGTGAGTGCAAAAATGAAGAGAAATGATTATTACATTTATTTGTTTATTTTGTACGTGTGTGCATATGTGTGGGTGTGTGGGGGCTACAGCACCTATGTGTGTGTAAGTCAGGGGACAACACGCAGGAGCTGGTTCTCGCTTTCTACTGTGTGGGTCCCAGGAATCGAACTCAGGATGTCAACCTTGACGGCAAGTACTTCAGCCACTCAGCCATCTTGCTAGCCCCCAATATTTTTTTTTTTTTTTTTTTTTAGCTATACTGAAATTACACTGTCCTCCAACATGAACTGTTTCATGTTCTCACAGCCCACACAAATCCAAATGCCCCACCGTCACAGGACAACCTCCCTAACAGTTTCCAGTCTGCTCGACTTTTCTTTCTTGGTATTATTACATCGTGAGATGTTTTCTTGCATGTTGCTCGAGATGATATTCTGCTCCAAGCAACTGAGATATTCAGGAGTGCAGCTGTGCCCACTTGCAAAAGATCGTCCCAGCTGGGCTCCTTAACTGTTTACATCTCCTCATAGAGCGGTGGGGAGGTCACAGGACCCTCACCCGAGGATCCAGCCTCTCCCTTCCACCTGTGGTATGCGATGCTGCCCTAATCACACAGGGCCCCAGCAAGAGGCTAGGGGTACAGGCCAGCGAAGACTAAGGAAGTGGGGCTCCATCTGTGTGGCTATAGGAAAGTTATCGTCATTGCTGGATAAAAGCCTTTCTGAGTGCCACATTTCAGGGGAGCGCACCCACACTTCTGTAAGTAACCCCTTACCTATGCTCTGTAAGTAAGGCCAATAGCTCACGGGTGCCCTGGGGGGGACTTTGGTGGCATTGTACCTCAGTTTGTTTTTGGAAACTCAGGGAACGGGGAGGAGATGTTTCTGTTGCCCACGGGGAAAGGATTTTAGCAACACTGCATTTCCACAGAGCTATTAATTCTCCTGAATGGTTGTGCAATACTCTATTAGGTACCCATGCCAAAATTGAAATGGCCTCATCTGGCTTTTCTCAATGGATCTCTCACTTAGATTGGCAGTCATAATCAAAAGAAGTGACAGCATCACTCTCTACTGTGGGCCACCGAAGACACACACAGGCAGAGGCCTGAGCCCATCATCGGCTAAGGAGTCTGGAGACGCTATCTCGTCTCCATCAGCTGGCTTCCTTTCTGTTCTTCACAAGAGGGTTGAGGGTGCTGGTCGGTGAGCTCGCTGAAGCAAGTTCTGGGCGTTTGTTGTTTGTTTGTTTGGTGTAGAGAAAACACCGTGTTCAGCCGCGGCCACAGCCCAGCACAGGTGTCTCTAGACTGTGAGCGTGCCCTCTAAGACAATAGCAGCGCCACCCTTCATGTCAACTCGGCCATCAGGTCGCAGGGAAATGTCCAGTTCCCCTCCTCGGCGGGAACACTGGAAGGCTAAACAGAACACAGAGTGGGGTCAGTTCAGAGCACTTCGCTGTGATTGACCACACCGTGAAGGGTTTATTGTTACCAACCCAGGACTCCTCCCAGGTCAGTGTCCAGAATAAAGTCAAACATTTGCAAAGTCCTGAGTTCAACACCCAAGCATCCAAAGAGGAGGAGAGAGCGGGAAGTATTTGTCCTACCTCGCATCTCTTTCTTCCTAAGCTGCTGGGACCAGTAACTACTGAGAACGGTGTGCGCGGATCCTGAAAAGTAAGACGATGTGAGAACAGGTGAAGGAAACGCAAGTGTGTGTCGCTGATCATGTTAAGTGATAAAGTCACTTAAGTTGACTGAATGTTAGATGATCTAATCCTAACGTCAACTGAGCAATAGCAGAGTGTGCAGTAAGGGAGATGGGTGTGTGTGTGTGTGTGATGAATCGGCTCTCCCAAATTGTCCATCAACTATGTCTGTTTTTTGAAGGATTAGACTCCAGGGATTCCCTTACTTGTTTTTTGATACAGGGTCCCATGGAGTTCGGCTGGCTGTAATTCTCTATGTAGCCGAGGCTGGTTTTGAACTCCTGATCCTCTTGCCTCTACCCCCTGATTGTTGGGATCACAGGGCTGTGCCACCACACCTGGCTTTGGGCTGTAATTTGGCTCTACCATCCATGGTCAGCTCTTTCTGCTGGAGTTGGAGTTCGAGGCAGGTGAGAGCCGCCTAACATGAACTCTGGGAACTGAACCCGGGTCCTCTGCGAGAGCAGTCTCCACTCTTAACCGCTCAGTCATCCCTCCAGCTCTTGACGGCCAGCTCTGGACAGGAAATTCAAAGCCGTCACATAAATCTCTCAATAATTTCCAGGGAACATACCTCCTTCCTTCCAGAGCACATACGCAAGCAAAGGAACTCAGACACGGGGTCAACCTTGTAAGGCTTTGTGGACAAAAAGAACATTCCTTTCAGTCAGGGTTTTGCGATTTTTCAGTGTGCCGGGCAAGCTTTCTATGGACCAAGTTTATCTCCTTGGTTAGTTGTGTGATTGTACCCTAGAAGTAGATCAGAGACTACATATGAAAACAAACAAAACATAAAGCCATGCCAGGCATGGCGGTGCAGACCTGTGGTCCTACGTAGGGATTTTTGAAGCCTATTTTGAAGATTTATGAGCTACAAAGGGAGTCTCAGGCCAGGCTGGCCTCCATGAAACTCGTCTTGAAAAAATGTGGAGGGGAGCAGGGAGAAGAAAATTAAACAATCTATAACTTACAACTTACAGTCTTTAGGGAGGAGGAAAAAAAAAGTTCTCTCTTCTCACCCACCAAACAAGCTTACTGAGCATTATAGGATGTCTAAGTATGGTAACTTACATTCTGCTTTGCCCAAGACTGACCATTAAAAGCTCCATGTACCAGGCCCCTCAATCCCACTTTACCCTAGCTGGTTCAAAGACCATCACTGTCTAGAAAACAATACACACAAAATTGTGCTGCTTGTCAGTCTTGGGGAAGCAGCTATGTGTATGCCTGCTGCCATGGTGTGCTGGCGACTTTTATGTCAACTTGACACAAGCTAGAGTCACTGGAAAGGAGAGAACCTCAATCGAGAAAATGCCTCCGTAAGATCTGGCTGTAAGGAATTTTCTTAATTAGTGATTGACAGGAGAGGGCCCAGTCTATTGTGGATGGTATCATACCTGGGCTGGTGGTCCTGGGTTCTATAAGAAAGGAGGCTGAGCAAGCCATGATGAGCAAGCCAGTAAGCAGCACCCCTTCATGGTCTCTGCATCAGTTCCTGCCTCCAGGTTCCTGTCCTGTTTGAGTTCCTGTCCTGGCATCTTTCAGTGATGGACTACAATGTGGAAGTGTAAACCCAATAAACCCTTTCCTCCCCAACTTGCTTTTTGGTCATGGTGTTTCATCACAGCAATAGAAACCCTAACTAAGATATATGGGAGAGACTCAGCAGGCTTCCTGGATGCTGTGGGCATTTTCCCCAATCTTATGCAATACTTTGCTGAGTTTTGAGTTTGTGCCTTTTGTTTCTCTCAGGGAACTCCGTGAAGACCCCAGAGCCATCCTGGCTCCTAGCATTTGGAGCCTTTGCCCAGCCCCTTTCAGCCCTGAACTCCATTTTCCCCAGCAGTCCCCTTCATCAAGCACCCCTGCCCTTGGCCGCAGAGATCAGGATTCTCAAAGAGGGTACAAGTGCAGAGTGTGACATTCCTGCCCATCTTTGATGTCATTCTTTTGCTTCCAGCTGGGGCAAGGTCTGCAAGTGTTGGCTCAGGGATCTAGGTGCATTGCTAGTGAAATATGTAGCTCTGTGGATGTAGCTCTGTGGTAGAGCACTTGCCCAGCAGGCAAAGTGGCCCTGCATCTAATCTCCAGTATCAGGGGAGGTGAAGGAAGAGGAGGAGTAAGGAAAAGAGGCAGAGACTGAACATAGCTAATGTTTATTGGGCATTTGCCATGTGCCAGGCACTGTATGTCCCCCTGGGCATGTGCTGGGCTGACCTAACCCTCTGAGGTATTCATCACATCACATAGAGGAGGGACCGAGACTTTTACGGGTTGTCACCTGTCCGAGTGGTAAGAACCAGGAAGGCAGGGCTGCAACGCCTCCTTTCTACAGCATCTTTTCACAGAAGATTTCAATGAAGGGATGGAGGGAGAGAAAGCAAGATGGAAGAACCACCCAGCGGGGCATGAGGGCACATGGCTATAATCCCGGCGCATGGCTGTCATCCAGCACTTGGGAGGTAGAGGCAAGGACAGCAGAGGGACAAAGTCATCCTCGGTTCATGACCAGCCCAGGTTACATGGAGACCAGCCCCATTACCTAAAATCCTACTTCAGAAAACAAAATCAAAGCAAGGCATCTGGAACGTCACATGAAGGCTATTTGTTTTCCTTTCTCTCCCTGTTACTGGGATAAAATACTGTGACCGAAGCAACTTAAGGAGGAAAGAGTTCATTTTAGCTTGCGGTTCAAGGCACAGCTCTTCATGGCTTCCCGGTGGAGGCGGCAGGAGCTTGCAGTAGCTGCTCACACCCACACCCACAGTCAAGAGGGAGCAATGAATATTGCTTAGCCTGTCTCGCTGGGATCCCAGTCAGGGATTAAGCTAGGCCTTCCCACTTGAATTAACATAGTCAAGATAATCCCTCAGTGTTGTGCTCAGAGGCCCATCTCCCAGGTGGTTCTGTCACACTGACAACACCAAGCACCACAGTGTATAGCTAGATATTTGTATCCCTCTTCTTCCCTGGTTAACGCATCCCTGACTTTAGGGAAAGAGTACCTGTTACCGGGTCTTCGGCCAAACCAACCCATGGCGCAAAGTATCGGGAGTAGAAGTCATATTGGGGTGTCCGCCCCCCAGGCTCTCCTTTGAGAGTGAGAATGAGTCCCTTCACCTTCCCTGTCTCTTCAATTCGAGGCAGAGGCTCTGTGTTCACCTTCAGGGTCTCTAGAAAGGACCTTGAGCACAAACAGGATGGATTAGGAACAAGTATTTTCAGACCACCCCCTACACAGAATAGGAAAGAGGCTGGGCTGGGCCCAGATGGCTCAGCAGAGGGAAGGGGGAGCCTGCCTTTGACATCTGCCTCTGGGAAAGCAAGTGGCTGGGCCAGGCATGATGGCAGATGCCTCTAATCCCAGCACTCGGGAGGCAGAGGCAGGTGGATCTCTGTGAGTTTGAGGCCAGCCTGGTCTACAGAGTGAGTTCCAGGAGAGCCAGAGCTACATAGGGAGACCCTGTCTCAAAAGAAAAGAAAGGCAAATCATCTAAGCAAAGCAGAGCTGGAAATCTGGGTGCTGGCGTGTAAATGGTTAAACACGGCATTTACCTGTTGTAAGAATCGCTGAGCCGGACCAGAAGTTTTCGGGTATCCGGAGAGTACTGGATATCCTGCACCAGGGTGTCACCTATGGCTGTCTGTGGAACAGATCAAAAGTGCCTCAGAGGGCCGACAAGATGGTTGGATGAGCAAAGGTACTTGCTGCCAAGCTTCATAACCTGAATTCAGTCACCCAGACCCAAATGGCAGGAGAGGACACACTCCTGCAAGTTGTGTTATGACCTCCAACCTCACACCATGGCTTGTCCAGCGTGCCTGGAGCCATAGCAACCATAAACCAGGCAAAAGGATGAGAAGTTCGTGGTCAAGAACATCTGGAGAGATGGCTCGGTTGGTAAAGTGCCTGCTTTGCAATCGTGAGGACCTGAGTTCAATTCCCATCATCCCTGGGGTTGGTTGGTTTGCTTGGTTTGGTTTTACAAGACAGGGTTTTTCTGTGTAACCGCTCTGGCTGTCCTGGAACTCGCTCTGTAAACCAGGCTGGCCTTGAACTCACAGAGATCCACCTGCATTTGCCTCTCAAATGCTAGGATTAAAGAAGTGTGCCACTGCCGGGCGGTGGTGGAGGCAGAGCCAGGCGGATCTCTGTGAGTTCGAGGCCAGCCTGGTCTACAAAGTGAGTTCCAGGAAAGGCACAAAGCGACACAGAGAAACCCTGTCTCGTAAAACAAAAAACAAAAAAAAGAAAAGAAGAAGAAGTGTGCCACTACCACTGCTGGGCCAGGCATGGTGACCAACAGTTGTTATCTCTCTGTTGGAGAGAGAGAGACAGGAGGCTCCCTGGGGCTTGCTGCCTAGCTCATCTGGCCTGATTGGTGAGCTCCAGAACAATGAAAGACTCTGCTGAAAAGGAGGCTAGGTCTGGAGAGACAGATGAGAATGCTTGCTGCTCATGCTCGAGGACCTGAGTTCCTGAGTTCGGATCCCCAGCATCTACGTAAAAAGCCAGGTATGGCCGGGCGGTGGTGGCGCACGCCTTTAATCCCAGCACTCGGGAGGCAGAGGCCGGCAGATCTCTGTGAGTTCGAGGCCAGCCTGGGCTACCAAGTGAGTCCCAGGAAAGGCGCAAAGCTACACAGAGAAACCCTGTCTCGAAAAACCAAAAAAAAAAAAAAAAAAAAAAAAAAAAAAGCCAGGTATGGCCACATGCACATACCTGTAAACCCTGGTGATGGGGGGAGGTGACACAGGAGACTTTCTGGGACTATTTTTTTTAATTTATCTATTTATTTGTGTGTGTGAATGTGTGTGGGCTCAAGTGTGGTCAGAGGACAAGTTGCAGGTATTAGTATTAGTTCTCTCCTTTTGGTACCAGGCCCAGCCTCAGGTTGGACTAGTGATATGACTACTGCATGGCTTCACCTCTATGCCCTGAGATGCTCCAGTTCCCATGGCTAAGGCCTCTCTGCCTTGGATGCTGTCTGCTGTTGTGTAGCTGTTTCCTCCCAATTGAAAATATTCCCTCCTGGAGAGAGGAGGAAGGCTCCTCAGACTCAAGAAGCTAAGGAAACCTACAAAGTCCAGGAAATCCAGAAAATTACAGGACTCACAAGGCTTGTCCCTAAGGCTATAAAAGTAATAGCAGTTGTTCTAGAGTGAAGACTCTCTGATGGAACTCTGATGGTACAGAGAGCTCCAGGGATGCAGCTTCAGTGAGCTGTCCCCCATGCTGGAAAGGGTCTTTTAGTCACTCAGTTCCTTTTGAGTCACCCATGCTGCTGGAAGGGATCACAGCAGAGTCATCTGCTCACCAAACTAGACTCCATGGAATTGTTTCTTTGGTCTGTTCTGTGTGCCCTTCTAGGGTAAACAGTCCCGTGTTCCCATCTCCCAGTTAAAGTCAGACCCACATCAGCAGGAGAGAAAAGAATTAGTCATACACCCATGGAGGGCTTCTCAGCAGAGTCCCAAACATGTTTTTCTCATGACCTCCCTTGCTCTGATACGGTCCCTTCCTTCTTCCCCTATGCATCTGGGGTTCTAGGACCTCCTCCACAGGACAACTGCAGTATTTACCTCACTGGGTGACACTGAGAACAAAATGAGATAGTGTGGGTAAAACACTCAGCGCGTGGCACCGCCCACAGAGCAGGCTGTCTCTCACACCCGCCATCTTTGTAATAGTGATGGAGGTAGTGATGGCTCACACCCTATAGGCCCACAAGAGACCAGGCTACATCTCTTGTCCTCACGGGGTAGACTTTCTTTGCCTCCTCCTCACTCTCATTGTCCACCCCTCAAGCGATGACCGTGACAACTGGCAGCATTTTCCAACCTTTCTCTCTGCCTTCTTTCCACAGGTTTCACGGACTGGTCTCTCCTGTAGAAAATCCAGTGCCGGTGCGATAATGGCATGGCTGTTATGGGGGTAATCAACCACTTTCTCGGTAGACTAGAGGCTGCTTCACAGGCTGGAACTCATACTGTGCACCTTGTGAAGTGCCCACGGCTGGGAAGGTCATGGGCCCTAAGAGGGGACCTCCTACCGTGGTTTTGGTAAATGGACATGAGTCACACAACCTTCTAAATACTTTGTTTATATCTCTAGGTTAGTGCTATCCTCAGCCTCTGTCAGAGAAGCTTAGTTTTGCAGTAAGTGGTAGTTAATGTAGAGACTCATCACTGGTCAAAAGCTGAGATTAAGTGGCCTTTGAGTGTTTGGCCCTAACTGAGACATCTATTATTATCTATTCCCAAGGTTCGGAGAACATGAGGAGGAGGTGGGAAGAGCGTAAAAGTCAAGGGATGGGGAAGAGTGCTGCAGACGGGTCTTCTAGACACGACGTGGCCACTGCCCTCACGAGCTCATGAACATCACAGCAGCTGTGGCTGTCTGCGAAACATCAGGCTGGTCAATAGTTCATCATCGATGAGGGAGGAGCTCATGAGGTCCACAGCTCCCCTGACTGTTGTCAGTTAATGGTAACTGAAGAAAGGGTGTCATTCTGTCAGTGGTGTGACACTGTCCAGATAATAAACTGTCCAGATTCCAGTAGATAACACCACCACCAGCCAGGGCTCATGCAAGCAACTCTAAACTCGGTGGGACACACACACACAGACACAGACACAGACAGACAAATCCACACACAGAGACACAGACACATCCACACACAGAGACACACAGACACATATAGACACACACACAGAGACACAGAGACACACAGACACATATAGACACACACAGAGAAACACACAGAGATACAGGCACATACAGACACACAGACATGGAAACACACACAGACATACACAAAGACAGACATACACACACACACACAGAGGTGTGAAAAGTAGGGTAACTGTTGGGAAGAAGTGTTTCATTGGGAGAGGAGGAGAGGAATGGTAGCGGGGTTAAAAAAAAAAAAAGACCAAAATTTGTTATCTACAGCTATGAACTTGTTAAGGAATTTTTAAAGAAAGAAAATGCCCATCTCTCCTACTTGAACTTGCATGGGCTCACCATCATCCATGTTGACTTCTCCTTCCTGCTGGAATGAACAGAAATCCAACCTTTCATTGTTCAAGGGGGCTGAGGATGCGGCTATCTTTTTCACTGCCTCTTACAGTTCTCTCTCTCTCTCTCTCTCTCTCTCTCTCTCTCTCTCTCTCTCTCTCTCTCTCTCTCTCTCTCCACCCTAAACATTCTACTCACTCCTGTCCCTCGATGGAGGTTATATTGCTCACAGTTAAGTGAGTTGGGTGTGATGGCATGAACCAGCCAGCTAGCACTTGACAGAAAAGAGAAATGCAAGTTCAAGGCTAGCCTGGGCTATACAGTGGTTACAACTCAGTGAAAGTGATCAATCTTACCAAATAGACACAATGTTAACATCCTAATCTGAATCCCACTGCCATGCTTATAATGGGTAGGAGGCCCATCTGTGGGGATCACATTATGTTAGAACACAGTCCAAGAATAGAATTGTGCAAGGGCAATTCTCAGTGTTTGTGAGAAAATTCCAAGACAACAAGACAAGAGTTTCTTCAAATACACTGAATTGCTCTTGGAATGGGTTTTTGTGCCCCTCCCAGCTGCAGTGGATATGAGTGAGTTTACTTCAGATTATTCAGTACAACTGGCTATTGCTATTGCTTTATATGCCTTTATGGAAAAACATGTTTTTGCCAAGTATGGCTTGTCCTTGTGATTGAACACTTTACCCAGGTGACTCTTCTTAACCCTCAGGGGATGAATTTGTCTGATGCTCTGAATAAAGTTGGCTACTGCATGAGACTTTAGTCTACCTCATTTTTAGACCCAGCTCACCCAGGTTCACACCACCAGTCAAAGCGGTAAACAATTACACCAGAGCTTGCTTTCTGTTCAAACATGAACAAAGGACCACACCACAAGGCTCTAACTGGATTCTTCCCACCAACCTTTATCAAGTCTTCTACTTCATGGAAGTCCTAGAAGAGGAAAACAGATACAGTCATTGCTGAACAGGAGAGCAGGGGGCAGTAATTGTATATAATAAAATTTGATGTAAATATAGTAAGAAAGAGCTAACCTGGGGGAAGGTTGGGTAGAGAGGAAAGTCCAGGACAATCCCGTCCTCTGCTCTTCTGGCCTTTAGTTCCCCACTCATAGTGACAAAGGTTAGGATGTTGTTTGTGTTCTCTGGACAAAGGAGGAATCAAGAATCATGAAAATAAACTTGGTACAGGGGACTTCCCTAACCCCAGTACTAGGGATTGAATCCAGTACCACACAGATTCAAGGCAAATGACCTAACACTCTACTACGCTACAATCCCAGCCTACTTTAAATGTTTTTTAAAAATATTTTCTATTTTAATTTATTTTTCAAGACAAGATCTTAACTACGGAATCCCCACTAGCCTGGAACTTGCTATGTATGCCAGGCTGGTTTTGAACTCACAAAGTGATACCTGCTTCTACCTCTAGAGTGCTGGTGGTGTATACATGGAATCCTAGGACTGGAAATATGGAGGCAGAAAGATCAAGAGCACAGGATCTTCTGTAGCTGCTTAGAGAACCCAGGGCAAGCCTGGGATACATAAATACTTGTCTCAGAAAAACATACATACGGGAGTCAGGTGTCGTGGCACACATCCTCAGTCCCAGCACTGGGGAGGTAGAGGCAGGAGGATTTCTGTTTGAGACCAGCCTGGTCTACAGAGTGAGTTCCAGGATAGCCAGGACTACCCGGCTCAGGGAAAAACAACAACAACATATACACATGCATACGTACAAGCATACACAAAGTAAAATTCCCATTACTTATTTTGTGAAACAGCACAGCCGCAGAGGCCAGGGTGGCGTGGCCACACAGAGGAACCTCACTCACTGGTGTAAACCACCTGAGTCCAAAGCGGGCACCTTCAGAGGGGGGAAAGCCAAAGAGACACACGTCAGACCCACACAGGCAAGCCTGCAGCTCTTCAGCATCCTCCTTCCTACATCCCTCCCTGGTGTGGTTAACAGCAAACGGTTGTTAAGGGATGAATGCAGACCGGACAGACATCCACAGGCTCCCCGCGGCTAGGTCTGCAGCAGAACCAGTAGGTCCGCCAACACCCTCTTCGTCCATTCAGGTTGCTATAACAGAACTCCACATATTGGGCAACTCTTTGAGAAAATATCTGTCATAGACCTGATGGTTTGGAGGTTCAAGGTCTAGGGGCTGGTACCTGCTCAGCCTCCTGTCACTGCATTAACCCAGGGCAAGGCACAGGCACATGAGGGCGCCAAACACCCGTGTCTGAGAAGCCCGCTCCCGATACCAACCCGCCCTCACAGAGATGACATTACTCCATTTTCTCCTATTAGGATCCACCTACCAATGTGATAGCTACCCTGGGGACTCACTTTCCAATACATGACCTTAGGAGGTGAGGAAACCTTAAACTATAAACGTAGACTAAACTTCAACACACCTTCTCCTAGATGAACTAAAACCCACGTGAGCTATCCGCAGGCAGATAACACACAAACATCTCCTTAAACCTCCCTCCTCAGCCTCGGCTTCCACGGCTGCCCAGGAATGTATGGAAAATGTGCGTTTACTCTGTGTGAAGTTGTCGCTTGGTTGCAGTTTCCTGATGAAAGCCGTTTCGGAGAGGTTCATTTCCCCTGCGATGCGTTGATGGGCGTCTTCGACCAGTGTCTGAATTAGAAACAAAAGGTCATTGAGACTTTGGAAACACAGCCCAGACTTCCACGCACGGCCAGCTACCATTAGTTAACATAGCGGGGGACATGAAATTCAAGTTAGGGGCCAAGGAACTGGAGGCATGTTACTACAGTTTTCCAGATACCCAGGCCCACAGCACCTAGGAGAACCACAAATGTGCAATGAATGCTACAGGCATTCAAACCCAGAGCATCGGGCCAGGTTCCTCTCTGTGTCCGTTTGTTGTCCAGCTAAAGATCTTGGGCACTTTTCTGTCCACTTTTTCCAAGTGCAGGGAATCAACCCTAAGGCTCCACGCACTCAGGGCAAGCACTCTATCACTGGGCCATGGCCGCAGCCATTTTAATTAATGAATGAATTACTTTTTCTTTGTAGACAAGTTCTAAGATGCCCAGGTGGGCATCTTGTGATTCCTCTACCTCAGCTGGGAGTAGGGGCTGGACACCCAGGCCTGGCTGTTTGCTTTATAAACTCACAATCCCCTTCCTCGGTCTCCGAAGTGCTGAGATTTCAGGTGTGAGTGACTACCCCCACCTACGGTTTTTCTCTACATTTACATTTTTAAAAGATACTACAATTGTGGGAGTGGGGCTGGGTATGTGTGCTTTTGAATACCACAGTGCCCTTGTGAAGGTCAGAGGAAAATGTGTGGAAGTTGATTTTTTTTTTCCCTCCCATCATGTGGGTCCTGAGGATCAAACTCTGGTCATCAGACTTGGCAGCGTGTGCTTTTGGCCAAGGAACAATCTCACCTGCCCCAGCATTATTATTGTTATTATTATTATTATTATTTTATACAGTTAAACCCACTAGTACCTACAAAATGCTTCTCTGGCGCCAACACGTGACAGTACTTCAAATGAGACCCATGCTAGTGTCTGATAAGAAAAGCCTTTTCTCCTATGCCAACCAATTAATTTAATATTCTGGGGCATGCGTGCCACGGTATGCATACAGAGGGCAGAAGACAACCTTTTGGAATCGGCCCTCACCATCTGTCTCTAACTGGGCTCCAGGGATTGAACTCAGGTCGTCAGGATTGTGCAGCAAGCCCCCTCAGTGGCTGAGCCATGTTGCTGACCTTTCAAACCATTAAATAAATAAATAAAGCTGAGGACAGCGGTGCATGTCTATAGTCCTGCTACTCGGGAAGCAGAGACAGAAAGAATAAGTCAAAATTGTACTGATGTTATGTTCTGGAGAGGAGGAGAATTTAGAGAACCATGCCAGATCTTATTATCTGGTGAAAGCTGAATGTTTAAATCCTTTCCAGATCAAGGCTATTACACGGCTATATAGAGAGAACCTGTCATCATCGCCCACCCCAGCCCCACTGCGGCCCAAGATACATTTCTGACTTGGAGTCACGGGACTATACTCACTGCGGCGGAAGTGTGGCGCAGCCACACACACTTCATCCACAGCCAGGAAGCATGGGCGATAATTTTCAAATTAATACATTTGATTAATAAATGATTATTAAATTTCCAATTACTAAATGTATTTAGTGAGAGAGAAGTTGTGGGGGGGGGGGGGAGGGCAGGCAGGGCTATGCAGGCCAGAGGACAATTTTCTGGTGAAGATCAGAACATGAAGCAGGGCACTCTGGCTTCGGCCGCTGCCCTGGGTGACCTACAAGCTTCCAGGTGACCCTCTGGTCTCCAGCTCCCCTATCATGGTAGGAATGCTGGGATTACAGGAGTTTTCAGCATAGGTGCTGGGACTTGAACCCTAGTGAACCAGACTCTGCTCATCAGGCCCTCATGGCTCCCCCCCGTCCCCCGCCCCAGCTTTCTCCTTTTGTGCAGTCAAGGATTCTCACCCATGACACTGTGCTGTCCTTCCAGGCCACAGCTTGGCCCTGGAAATCTGCCTGGGGAGATGAGGGGATAGGGAAATAACCGACAGACACGCAGAAAAGCTGGGATGGGGTGGGCTGGGCTGGCTCCATGGGAGGGCACCTGCTACTGGACACAGTAGCTCGGCAGGTTTATTACGTCAGGCACCGGGAGGAGGGGTTAGCTACTGTCAGCACCACGTCTCTGTAGGGAATCGTTGGAGGTTGTGACCAAACCTAGGAGGAGGGAGCTGAAGCCCCGTGCTTCTAGACGTTTCTGTCAGCATTCGCACACAGACCACGGGAATACCACTCTCCCAAGCCTCACCCAGGGACTTCTTTGCCAATTCCCATGCCTCTGAGCATTCGGCTCTTTGACAGGCCATGCTCATAGCAAGCAATATACACCCAGGACTTTATCCACTGCTCACAGTGTTACCCACAGTTAGGGTGGGTCTTTCCGATACAAGTAAACTTATCTGAGGCCTCCCTCACAGACATGTCAAGACATGTGTCTCCAAGACCACTCCAGAGCTTGTCAAGTTGACCGTCAATACAAATCATCACAGGAAGGTCCCTGCTTCCTACGACCCAGGAAACAATACAGCATTCACCCAGAAGGCCAAGGGATATTTAACTATCCTATTAGCAATTATCCTAATCAAAATCAGTAATATAAACTCAACGAATTCATTTATTTGGCGGAGGCACACGTGCGTCACGGCACGCCTGTGAGCTCAGAGGTCTACGTGCAGGAGGAGATTTTTCTGCTTCCCCTATGTGACAACCAGGGATTGAACTCTGGTCTTCGGGCTTGGCGCCAAGGAACTCTACCTGCTGAGCCATCACTCCCGTGAAAAAGAGCTATTTATAAAACGAAGACTTTCGGAAACTCACTTTTCCAGGTACTAGAGACCAACTCCTTCTTGTTTCTGTTTAATTCCTTGCAAGTGTCTTATTTTCTTGATCCTAAAGAATTTTTTTTTAAATATTTTGATGATTATTTGGAGAGAGAGAGAGAGTATATGTGTGTGTGTCTGTGTTTGTGTCTGTCTGTCAGTACACTTGAGTGTAGAGCCTTTGGAGAGAGAGAGACAGACAAACAGACAGACTGTCTGGGTTTGTACAGTGTTCCTGGAGGTCAGGATCCCCTGGAGCTGGAGTTACAGGCCGTTGTAAGCCAGGCGTAGGGAAGATTAAAGACGGGCATGAAGATTAAAGACGCGCATGGTGGCACACGTCTGCGACCCCTCAATGAGGAGGAGTCCAGGACAGACGGAGTCTGAGGATAGCTGGGCTACAAAGGGGGTTTAAGGTCAGCGTGGGTTACAAATCTTGATCTTTCCTTAAGCCCTCTCCCAACCCCCATGAGAGAGTCCCTAAAATAAGATCCATATTTAGCATAAAACTAAACTCTGATGGCTAAGGAAGCCCTCCCCCTACTTTTTTATTATTATTTGCTTATCTATTTAATTTTGATTTTGTAAGATGGGTCTCTTCATATAGCCCCCAGCTGGTCTAGGACCTCCTCTAGAACCCAGGCTGGGCTCAGAGTCATGATCTTCCTGCCTTATCCTTTGGAACACCAGAGTGACAGGCATATGAGACCCCACTCCCCGCTGCTGTCTCTTTAATTGGCTCCAGTTCCTGTGCGTGGGACTGTCTGTGGTTCCGACTCAGTCTAGGTTATAATATATAGTATAACCTGAAGACACGGCCGTCACCGCTGTGACAAAGAACACGAGCCAAAGTGGCGAACACTCAGGATGGTCTGTCTCACTTCTACACAAGTCATGGGCTCTGCACACATCTAGGAGTCCAGGCACGGCCCTTGAGAACCAAGGACTTACATTTTCCACGAGGCAGACGGCAGCAGGATTGCCCCGGAAAGCTGTTGCCGTGAATGCATCCGCTATGAAAATCGGGAGCTTCATGTTCCTCGCCGGCTCTGTCTGGGAGGTCCCTGCCTTGCTGGGAGCCTGCTTCACTTCCTGTTGTTAAAAAAAAAAAAAAAAAAAGCCAGAAAGTTAATATTTCACTGGTGTACACATGCATGCAGCTAATGGTTCCCAGATAACAAAGTCAAACAATTAGTCCAACATAATTCCCTTTAAAGACACCAATCCTCTAACTTTTTCAGCCTTTGCATTGAATTACCTTTGCAGAGAGTATCCTAGCGCTGGGCTAGTGAGCACTTGCTTGGTGTGCACAAGGCCGTGGGTTCTATCCCAGCACTGAAGGAGAGAAGGCTGCAGATCCAGCTCATGTGCTAGTGTTCCTTAGCATGCTCAAAGCCCTGGATCCAATCCCCAGTGGCCCTTAAACAGGACATGGTGGCACACATCTATAATCCTGGCCCAAGGAAACGGGGGCAGGAGGAACAGACAGGTTCAAAGCCATCCTCAGCTACACAGGGAGTTCCGGGCCAACCTGGGAGACATGAGACCCTACCTCAAAACAGTAAAAGAGTTTACCAACTTACACAGTATATGAAAGTTAGTCTGATAGGTAAAAAGTAAACATTGGGTTTTTTGTTTGTTTGTTTGGGGTTTGTTATTGTTTTCTTTTTGTTTTTTGAGACTGGGTTTTTCTTTGTAGCCCTGGCTTTCCTGGAACTCTCCAGACCAGGCTGGCCTTGAAGTCAGATATTCACCTGCCTCTGCCTCCCAAATGTTGGGATTAAAGGCGTGTGCCATCACCAACTGGTAAACTTTAGGTTTTCATCATCAGGAAACAACATCAAGTCACCCTCTTCTTGGTTTTTTGTTTGTTTGTTTTGTTTTTTTCTTAATACAGGGTCTTACTATGCAGCCTTTATGGCCTGGATCTTAAGTCTGGCCTTGAACTCAGAGATCTGCCTGCCTCTGCTTCCTTAGTTCTGGCAATGAAGTCCTGTGCCACCATGCCTGACTTCCCTTTTCTCCTTTTGAATTTACCTAGCTGTGGGAAGAGTGTCTGGTACACAACAGATATCTACTGAACGGTTTAAGTGGCGATATACTCGGCACGCGTCGTAACTGAACTTTCGAGTATGGAAGACAAACAGGAGGATTTGCCATCGAGTGTCATCCTCCAGGATGTGTCTCTGTCAGTAACATCACTGTCTTGCCGCTGCTTTTCAGCTTGTTTGTGGGATTGTTTGAAGACTTCGTGGTAGATTATATCAGATAGCATGAGTCAGCACAGACAGGATCAAAGTTTCTATAATGGTACGTGGTTCCCTTCTACATGGCTGGGATGCAGCCCAGGCTCACACAGGACGGCTCACCGCTCTGCCACACAGCTTGTTTACCTGTTATGTGGGGCCAGGATCTTGCCAATGTTGTCCATGTTGGCCTTGAACTGTCTGTGGAGCCTAGGCAGGACTTCAGCTTGCAATCCTCCTGCCTCAGTTTCCTGATTAGCTGGGATTACAGGCTTGTGTCTCTAGACCTGGCCATTGAGTTTTCACAGTGGCACAGGCCTGTGTTACCAGGAATCAGGAGACTTCAACAGGAGGCCTGCCTTGAGTTCAAGGCCAGACTGGGATATCTCCATCTCAAAGGAAAAAAAAAAAAACAGAATAAAACAAAATTATGTCTGGGTGTTCACTGATCTTCAGCCTCATTGGTTCCATCCATCAGCTCTCACTAAATGGTCCCTGAGAGAAAATACATGAACTCCAGTAACCAGGAGTTACAGCTGCAAGTTTTTGAGATGTCAGTTAAATAGTTTTCTGAAATTACAAAAAGTGGTGTGTGTGTGTGTGTGTGTGTGTGTGTGTGTGTGTGTGTGTGTGTGTGACAGTTTAATCTCAGGGACTCAGGTATGCTAAGCATATATTTTATAACACAGGTACATCCACTCCGCAAACCTAAATCCCTTAGTGTTTTTAAGAGGTGAGAGGGCTAAAGTTGCCGGTAGCCATGTCTTAGGAGTAAGAGATGGCAACTGAAGTTTGAGGTGTCAGCCCACCAGGAGGAGACTCTCTGATGGGTCAATCTCATTTAAGCAAGGCTACGAGACTACAGACCCCGGAATGTCTTTTGCTTCTGCTGTGCCTTTACATGTTCGATGCTACAATCTTTTCTCTGTTATGTGGTATAGTGTGAATGGGTGTGGGGAGACCCCGAATGCCTGTAATGTAGTGTGTTTATCTCATGAAAACATCCAGATCCACTGGGCAGTTTTATCTGTGGATTGTCAAGATGATTCCTCCCTAAGCTGTATTGTCTGATTGATAATTATGATAGCCTATACAGAGTTGTGATGAATAAAAATAGATACAAGGATATATTTCATAGCTAAGGCCTATGAGTTCCACCTAGGAGCTGCTTGAGATCACAGCTCAGATTGAAAGGATCCAGACTGCCTCCAATTCTCTTAATACTGAAAAGATGCAGTCATGGATTTTCAGTGTGCACTATTAAGCTGAAACAAAGCTTCAAGATAACTTTAGATTAAACCAGATGACTTGCAAATGTTTTTTTAGATAAACAACCCCAGAAAAACATTCTAAAGTTCACAAGGACATAAACTGAGCTGTCTGATTCATTTGGCTAGGGTCCTAAATACAAAACAGCCCGATTATTGCTAGCTAATGAATGCAATCCTTGTACCCATTCCCGACCTCAATTTGCTGATATGGGTATGCACCCTGAAGATTCAAAGTTCAGCTCACTGACTGTTTTTTATGCATAAAAGTGTTAGGTCCTGGTATTGCACAGATAATAGGGAGTGGAACACTAAAGTCTAGAAACAGGAGCAACTTTTATTGAAATACACCATGGGGAAGAAAATCCTGACTAGTCAGGGCTCCAGAGAATAATTTGACTCTGTAGCCCCCCAAAAGGGCTACAGGTTTCTTTTTATCAGGGGTTCCACACAGGGGAGAAAGTACATTTTGAGATTTAAAGCGTCGCGGTGCCACAGTGCCGTGGGAGTGCCAACTGAAGCCGAGGCTAAGAGATATACAGCATCTCAGGAATGTTGACTAGAGCTTGAACTAGAAGATTTATGATGTCCCAGGTGTCTCCATGTTCCCAGACTTCAGCTGGCACTCTCTGGGTACCCCTAAGGAATCTGAGATAGGAAAGGCACCCGGATTTATGACTTTTGATTACACAATGTTAGTTCAAAAGGTTTACATAGTCATGGGTTCTATAATCATTCACTTAATAACGGAATGTAACCTCTTTGTGAGTCTCATATTGCCTGAAAGCGTGTGTTGGGGGTGTGTAAGCTGTAGGAAGACATGAGAGAACAGAGAAAGGACAGAAGAACAACAGAGAATAAAGAAGGAAACCATCAAGAGAGTGTGTGAGTGTTTTTTTCCTATTCCCCTCAGATAGAAAAGTCTTAGTTACATTGATGCTGTGGATTCCTTTTGAGCCCTGTGCGGCCTGGAGGCTGGTCCCCCAGCGGGCAGTATTAAGTAATCCTTCTGCCTCAGCTTCTCCATTAACTGAGCCTGAAGGAGAGTCACTGGCTTTGGCTGTGAATACTTACAAAAGTTAATTCAGGGAACAGTGAGATGTCTCAACAACTGTGGGCACCTACCATATAAGCCTGGACCAGAGTTCAATCACCACAAAGGTGGGAAGTGAGACTGACTCCCCAAAGTTGTCATCTGACATCTATTCTCTGAGTTTTAGGTCCCCAGTAAGATCTGAGGATTTAGGTGCTAGAACTGGGGATGTGACACAATTTGTAGTGTTTGCCTGGCATGCACAGGACTCTGCTCCTAGCCCCAGCATCACTTAAAACACAGTGACAACTGAATGATAAACAGGGGGCGGGAGGTTGGGGTTAGAAACTCTGGTCTGCAAGTGTGTGTGTATCTGTGTCTCTGTGTGTGTCTGTTCTGCTCTGTTTTGTGAGTCCGTCTGACTATGCATCCCAGGCTGTCCTTCAAGTAACAATCCTCCTGCCTCAACACAAGTGCTGGGTCTATGGATGCGCTGCACCAAACCAGGCTACCTATGGGAGCCCGTTTTCAGGTTCCTCTGGCTTTACTCAGCAGGTCCGCATAGAGGATGATTAGGACCACGGGCCTGAGTGCAGGTGTCTGAGATGGTCTGCACTTGGCTGTGCTGGGGGAGGAGGTCTTTTGCTCCACCCCTTGGCGTCTCTATAACAACCCTGGGGCAGAGACAGTCAGGGCCCTTGGAATAGGTTCCAGGCCCTCTCGAGGCTATCCTTTATTTTCTGTTTATCTCCACAATCTAAATCCTTCTAATTATTTCCTGCTGCTCACACTCAAGAAAACTCTGGGGAACTGTGGGGTTAGTGGGTAGAAGCCCCGCAGCTACCTTGCAATTTTTGAAATGTTTGAAAATCAACATCAGTGAATCAGCTTTACAAAACACTTACTTGTTGAGACAGGGTTTCAGGTGGCCCAGGTAAACTGATAATTTGCCCCGTTGAAGCTAGCCTTGAACTCCTGATCCTCCTGCCTCTCCCTCCCAAGTGCTAAGGTTACAGGCATGGAGCACCACACCAGGCTTATGATTATCGTGCCAACCTGAGGAGGAAATCCTACCCCAGGGCCACTCACGGGGAGTCAGTACTGTTGATGTCACCAAATTCAAATATGTGTGAAGTCATGCTTCATTAAACAAGAGAAGACTTCAGCATCGCCATCTTCAAGCACAGAGGAGACAAGGTAAGACCAGGCCGTTCTCAGTGTTTATTTTTATCATCATATAATCTAATCCGATACACACTTTGTCTTAATTTCCTGGGTTTTGTCCTGAGTGTTACTTACAGACACTAAGATTCCTCTGAATCTTCCCACGCGAACTGTTTCTCTTTGCTGTTTTCACAGTCATGTGACTCCGTATTCCCCACAGCCATAGCCTGGCCTCCCTAACAGTTTACAGTCTATTCTCTTTAGTGTTTGGGCTACATTTCTACAGAGCAATTGGGTCTATTAAAAAGGTTATGAGTCTGGGCATGATAGAGCACACCATTAATCCACTCAAGAGTCAGAGGTAGGCAAATGTCTAAATGTCTGTGAGTCGGAGGGTAGCCTGGTCTACATAGAGAGTTCTTCCAAGCCAGGGTTATACAGTATTTCTCTGTCTTTAAGTTTAAATTATATATATAGTTGCAAAATCTATAGGGTATACACACACCTAAATCTAAATTTTATCTGGATCCTTATCAGTGGATCCTTATCAATGGATCTCTCACTTTGATTGGCAGTCATAATCAAAAGAAGTGACAGCATCACTCTCTGCTGTGGGCCACTGAAGACACACACAGGCAGAGGCCTGAGCCCATCATCGGCTAAGGAGTCTGGAGATGTTATCTCGTCTCCATCAGCTGGCTTCCTTTCTGTTCTTCACAAGAGGGTTGAGGGCGCTGGTCGGTGAGCTCGCTGAAGCAAGCTCTGGGCGTTTCTTGTTTGCTTGCTTGCTTTTTTGGTGTAGAGAAAACACCGTGTTCAGCCGTGGCCACAGCCCAGCACAGGTGTCTCTAGACTGTGAGCGTGCCCTCTAAGACAATAGCAGCGCCACCCTTCATGTCAACTCGGCCATCAGGTCGCAGGGCAATGTCCAGTTCCCCTCCTCGGCGGGAACACTGGAAGGCTAAACAGAACACAGAGTGGGGTCAGTTCAGAGCACTTCGCTGTGATTGACCACACTGTGAAGGGTTTATTGTTACCAACCCAGGACTCTTCCCAGGCCAGTGTCCAGAATAAATTCCTCCATGTGTGCACAGCACCTCCCACCTCCTCCCCATCCTCCGGCAGACCCAGAGGTCCACGCACAACTGATGTGCACACACTGCCCAGCCCTTCCCTTCCTGGGTCTCTTCTGCCACTTCCTGCATTGTCCAGCTGTGCCCCACCTAACGCTTCCTCTCGGATGCTCAAGGATGTGCGGAGAGATGGAGGCGGGGAACGGTAGTCTCAGAAGATGTAGAGAGGGGGTCCTGGCCCACCTGAGAAGGTTCCCCTCACCCTGCCCCTTCTCAGCTCAGAAGAGTCAGATGGAAGTTTGTTTCCTTGTAGGAAGTCAAAGTAACTGCAAGGCCCGGTGCACAAGGGAGGCACAGGTCTCAGCCTTCCAGGAGCTCCCGACTTAGTAAGTCATTAGATTCACCCAGGACAGAGACCAAACACCCGTTCTCCACATCAAGTCACTGAGACTGAGTCGTCCCTTCAGAAAGAGCCCATCCTTGGGGGTCAGAGCCCTGCTCTGATGATGAGTTAATGTGGCTTCCTTCAGCCAAGTTCCTTTTTCTGTGTGCTTGAGTTTTCGAGTCACCCCTGGGGGACTGGGCCTTCAGGAGGCGGGGGCACACACCTGGTCATCCTGAATTCCACAGCAGGACTCCATCTCAAAAATCCAAAAGCTGGAGCTATGACTCCACGGTATCCCATTTGCTGAACATTGAAGGACCCGAGTTCAATACCCAAGCACCCAAAGAGAGGGAGAGGAAGAGATGGGGAGAGCCAGCGTACCTCGCATTTCTTTCTTGCCCAGCTCCTCAGACCAGTAGGGGCCAAGTATAGTGTGGGTGGACCCTGGAAAGAAGTGACAGGCGATGAGATCAGGAGTGACGTTCCTCTGAATGTATCAACAATTACAACCAATCATCCAGTCCTTTGGGAAGGTGGCCCCGGCAAGTACCTGTCAAATCTCTTACTCCCTCTGAAGCTGCATTCAACTGCGAAGTCATTTTTCTGTTTGTTTTCTTTTTTATGACTGTCTCAAGTAGCCCAGGCTATCCTACAACTAGCTGAGGTTAGTCTTGAACTTCTTTTCCCCTTGCCCTAACCTCCCAAGTGCTACCTTGACATCTGTGTGACATCATGGGAAGAGTACCTGTTACCGGGTCTTCGGCCACACCAACCCATGGCGCAAAGTATCGGGAGTAGAAGTCATATTGGGGTGTCCGCCCCCCAGGCTCTCCTTTGAGAGTGAGAATGAGTCCCTTCACCTTCCCTGTCTCTTCAATTCGAGGCAGAGGCTCTGTGTTCACCTTCAGGGTCTCTAGAAAGGACCTTGAGCACAAACAGGATGGATTAGGAACACGTATTTTCAGACCACCCCCTACACAGAATGGGAAAGAGGCTGGGCTGGGCCCAGATGGCTCAGCAGAGGGAAGGGGGAGCCTGCCTTTGACATCTGCCTCTGGGAAAGAAAGTGGCTGGGCCAGGCATGATGGCAGATGCCTCTAATCCCAGCACTCGGGAGGCAGAGGCAGGTGAATTTCTGTGAGTTTGAGGCCAGCCTGGGCTACAGAGTGAGTTCCAGGACGGCCAGAGCTACATAGAGAGACAGAAAAGAAAAGGCAAATCATGCTTTGGTGACAGCACAGCCTGACGGAAGCGGAGCTGGAAATCTGGGTGCTGGCATGTAAATGGCTAAACCTGGCATTTACCTGTTGTAAGAATTGCTGAGCCGGACCATGAGGTTTTTGGTATCGGGAGAGTACCGGATATCCTGGACCAGGGTGTCACCTATGGCTGCCTGTGAAGCAGATCAAAACTCCTCAGAGGACTAACTCTTACTGAGTTGTTAGATGCTTGTCTAGATGCCAGAAGCCCTGGGTCAACCCCCAGCACCACATTAACTGAGCATGTGCTTGTAAACCTAAGATGCAGAGACAGAAATGTCAGGAGTTCAGGGTCAGCCTCAGCTAGTCAGCAGGTGTGAAGTCAGGCTGGGATCCCGGGATTCTGCCTCAAAATCAAACCAAACCAAACAGCTAGGCACACTCCTTCGACACCAGCACGTGGGAGGCAGAGGTAGGAAGCTGGAGGAATTTCAGGACTCGGAGCTGGCCCTGTGGTGAGAACTTGCTTTATCCCACTCCGCTCAGCAAGCATACTGCCTGCATTCATCAGGCTGGAAAGTCGACTCTTCTTGGTCCAAAGGGGCTGAGGATGCCTGTTACCTTCCTGACCAACTCCTTCCGGCCTTCTCTGTCTGCCCCAAACACTCCATCTTACTCCTGCCCCTCTATGGAGGTTATAGTGCTCATAGCTAAATCAAATGAGTCAGCTGTGATTGGATGACCTGCAATCTTAGTACTTGAGAGGCAAGAGAATTACAAGTTCAAGGCCAGCCTGAGCTACACAGTGAGGAAAGAAAGATTCCAGCTCAGTGAATGTTAGACACAACACTAACATTCTGACCTGAAACCATCTAGGCATCCACAGCGGTGCGTACACAGGATCGGGGCTATTTTATGGGGTCGTGTCACACCAGTACTTTCAAACACAAACACAAAGGACCACACCACAAGGCTCTAACTGGCTTCTTCCCACCAACCTTTATCAAGTCTTCTACTTCATGGAAGTCCTAGAAGAGGAAAACAGATATACACAGCCATTGCTAAACAGGAGAGCCGTGGGCAGTAATTGTATATAACAAAATTCGATGTAAATATAGTAAGAAAGAGCCTACCTGGGGGAAGGTTGGGTAGAGAGGAAAGTCCAGGACAATCCCGTCCTCTGCTCTTCTGGCCTTTAGTTCCCCACTCATAGTGACAAAGGTTAGGATGTTGTTTGTGTTCTCTGGACAGAGGAGGAATCAAGAATCAGGAAAATAAAAGGGACTGTGTTTTCTGGGTGTTTATCGATGTTTGTTTGTGTGTGGGTGGTGTGGTGTGTGTGTGTGTGTGTGTGTGTGTGTGTGTGTGGAATGAACCCAGAGGGTCAAATATGAAAGTATCTCCCCCTAAGCTCTCTCCCCATTCCTCCTTGGTCTATAATTTTCGAGACGGTGTCTCATTAGGTTGTTTGGGGTGGCCTTGAGTTCCCTCTTTGGCCCAGGAAGTCTGAAATTTTAATCCTCTCTCCTCAGCCCCCTCAATAGCTGAGATTTCAGGTCCATTTCATCAGCCTAATCTTGTCTTCATGATTATCCTCTACCCACACAAACAAAATCATTTTATCATAATGATCAGAATTTCATGACTTGAAAGTAAAATGTCCCCAACACTTGCTCCTCAGCTCCTGCTACTGTTTGGGGGAGAGACACGTTCTGAGAACTGGTCCACAGGTAAAATAACGGGCTTTTCAAGAGGGACACTAAGACAGATTGTCAGGCAGTAAGGAGTTGACTAAAAGCATCATTAACACTATGGGCAGACAGATAACAAGACGGCAGAGGCCCTGAGCAGAGCTAAGGCTCCAGCACATGAGACAGACAGCATGGTGGGTTCTGAAGAGGAAATTGGTGCCCACAGGGCAGAAGCGGGTGTGTGTCTCTTACACCTTTTTGAGTATGGCTTTATAGCACAAGCCCGTTGCTAGGCTCTCTGAGTCCCAGGAAGGGGGCAGGGCAGGGGATGTGGAGCAGGATGTGTGGCCGCCAGGATCTGCTTTGATAAAAAGTTACTCCCCTAAATGAGCGTACCTGACACCAGAAGTCTGTTCCTCAGGGATTCACAGTGTCTCAGTAAGGCGCCTGTCAATGTCTGTGAGGGGGAAAGGACTTCTGCAGGGTCTTGTGGCCTGAGTGGTAGCTGGATTCTAACACTACATCCTCACAAAGGCCACAGGCCTCCAAGGGCTGTAACTTGACCAGCACCTGGCCCAGTGTTACTGCTTCCTCTCAGATCTCAGTGTTACTAGTACATGCTCTTAAAACCATGGGCCAAGGCACCATGGCCACCATGATGGCCTGCATCCCCTGAAGTGTGAGCCAAACCAAACCTTTCCTCCCTTAGGTTGCATCTGTGCGGTATTTTAGCACAGCAACAGAGAAGCAATGAGTATAACGAGTATACTGGATTCTGTGGTAGTGAGGCCTCGGCTAACTCGAAACTCCATTCCCTGAACAGACACAGGTTCCCTCAAGAGCCTAAGGATGGCAGAGTCTGTAGAAAACACAGCAGGGCCAAGCGGTGGTGGTGCACGCCTTTAATCCCAGCGCTCGGGAGGCAGAGGAAGGCGGATCTCTGTGAGTTCGAAGCCAGCCTGGTCTACAGAGTGAGATCCAGGACAGGCTCCAAAACTACACAGAGAAACCCTGTCTTGGGGGGGGGGGGGGGACCAGCAGGAGTTGCTTTGGCTGGAGCCTACGGATGCGCCTCCTCCTCATCTAGCTCGGTGCACGGTTCCATCTTCTTCAGCTCAAGGTCCCTGTCTAGTGTCCATCATCTTCTTAAACCGTGAGTCACAACCTCATCTGGGCTCATGTAACTGAGTGTGGACGTTGCAAAGAATGTGTCAATAGTACATGGCTTCTGAACACACACCAACTAAAACTTCATTCAAAATGTAGTGAATAGAAAGTGTTTCTGGCTCTGCTCACACACGTGGTGTGGCGTGACATCAGTGAGGCCTTGAGACACGCACGCTTTGCATTACACATGCCTTCCCTCCCCACCCCAGTGAAACACGCGGGCTCAGATGGGAGTCTACAGTAGGTTATAAATGACACCATTTCTGCTGCCCATACAATGTGTTCCTCTTACAGAAATATAATCGTTTACTTACAGGAGGCAAAGGTGTTTAACATTTTTCAGTTGTCATTTGTCAGTATATAAGTATCAAATCAGTATCTCTTCGGATTTGTATTACAATGTTTGATTTTACTTTTTTATTTTTAGAAAGCAAAAAAATAATTAATGTGTATATGTGTTTTGCCTCATGTAACTCTTACTGAGTTGTTAGATGCTTGTCTAGATGCCAGAAGCCCTGGATCAACCCCCAGCACCACATTAGCTGAGCATGTGCTTGTAAACCTAAGATGCAGAGACAGAAATGTCAGGAGTTCAGGGTCAGCCTCAGCTAGTCAGCAGGTGTGAAGTCAGGCTGGGATCCCGGGATTCTGCCTCAAAATCAAACCAAACCAAACAGCTAGGCACACTCCTTCGACACCAGCACGTGGGAGGCAGAGGTAGGAAGCTGGAGGAATTTCAGGACTCGGAGCTGGCCCTGTGGTGAGAACTTGCTTTATCCCACTCCGCTCAGCAAGCATACTGCCTGCATTCATCAGGCTGGAAAGTCGACTCTTCTTGGTCCAAAGGGGCTGAGGATGCCTGTTACCTTCCTGACCAACTCCTTCCGGCCTTCTCTGTCTGCCCCAAACACTCCATCTTACTCCTGCCCCTCTATGGAGGTTATAGTGCTCATAGCTAAATCAAATGAGTCAGCTGTGATTGGATGACCTGCAATCTTAGTACTTGAGAGGCAAGAGAATTACAAGTTCAAGGCCAGCCTGAGCTACACAGTGAGGAAAGAAAGATTCCAGCTCAGTGAATGTTAGACACAACACTAACATTCTGACCTGAAACCATCTAGGCATCCACAGCGGTGCGTACACAGGATCGGGGCTATTTTATGGGGTCGTGTCACACCAGTACTTTCAAACACAAACACAAAGGACCACACCACAAGGCTCTAACTGGCTTCTTCCCACCAACCTTTATCAAGTCTTCTACTTCATGGAAGTCCTAGAAGAGGAAAACAGATATACACAGCCATTGCTAAACAGGAGAGCCGTGGGCAGTAATTGTATATAACAAAATTCGATGTAAATATAGTAAGAAAGAGCCTACCTGGGGGAAGGTTGGGTAGAGAGGAAAGTCCAGGACAATCCCGTCCTCTGCTCTTCTGGCCTTTAGTTCCCCACTCATAGTGACAAAGGTTAGGATGTTGTTTGTGTTCTCTGGACAGAGGAGGAATCAAGAATCAGGAAAATAAAAGGGACTGTGTTTTCTGGGTGTTTATCGATGTTTGTTTGTGTGTGGGTGGTGTGGTGTGTGTGTGTGTGTGTGTGTGTGTGTGTGTGGAATGAACCCAGAGGGTCAAATATGAAAGTATCTCCCCCTAAGCTCTCTCCCCATTCCTCCTTGGTCTATAATTTTCGAGACGGTGTCTCATTAGGTTGTTTGGGGTGGCCTTGAGTTCCCTCTTTGGCCCAGGAAGTCTGAAATTTTAATCCTCTCTCCTCAGCCCCCTCAATAGCTGAGATTTCAGGTCCATTTCATCAGCCTAATCTTGTCTTCATGATTATCCTCTACCCACACAAACAAAATCATTTTATCATAATGATCAGAATTTCATGACTTGAAAGTAAAATGTCCCCAACACTTGCTCCTCAGCTCCTGCTACTGTTTGGGGGAGAGACACGTTCTGAGAACTGGTCCACAGGTAAAATAACGGGCTTTTCAAGAGGGACACTAAGACAGATTGTCAGGCAGTAAGGAGTTGACTAAAAGCATCATTAACACTATGGGCAGACAGATAACAAGACGGCAGAGGCCCTGAGCAGAGCTAAGGCTCCAGCACATGAGACAGACAGCATGGTGGGTTCTGAAGAGGAAATTGGTGCCCACAGGGCAGAAGCGGGTGTGTGTCTCTTACACCTTTTTGAGTATGGCTTTATAGCACAAGCCCGTTGCTAGGCTCTCTGAGTCCCAGGAAGGGGGCAGGGCAGGGGATGTGGAGCAGGATGTGTGGCCGCCAGGATCTGCTTTGATAAAAAGTTACTCCCCTAAATGAGCGTACCTGACACCAGAAGTCTGTTCCTCAGGGATTCACAGTGTCTCAGTAAGGCGCCTGTCAATGTCTGTGAGGGGGAAAGGACTTCTGCAGGGTCTTGTGGCCTGAGTGGTAGCTGGATTCTAACACTACATCCTCACAAAGGCCACAGGCCTCCAAGGGCTGTAACTTGACCAGCACCTGGCCCAGTGTTACTGCTTCCTCTCTGATCTCAGTGTTACTAGTACATGCTCTTAAAACCATGGGCCAAGGCACCATGGCCACCATGATGGCCTGCATCCCCTGAAGTGTGAGCCAAACCAAACCTTTCCTCCCTTAGGTTGCATCTGTGCGGTATTTTAGCACAGCAACAGAGAAGCAATGAGTATAACGAGTATACTGGATTCTGTGGTAGTGAGGCCTCGGCTAACTCGAAACTCCATTCCCTGAACAGACACAGGTTCCCTCAAGAGCCTAAGGATGGCAGAGTCTGTAGAAAACACAGCAGGGCCAAGCGGTGGTGGTGCACGCCTTTAATCCCAGCGCTCGGGAGGCAGAGGAAGGCGGATCTCTGTGAGTTCGAAGCCAGCCTGGTCTACAGAGTGAGATCCAGGACAGGCTCCAAAACTACACAGAGAAACCCTGTCTTGGGGGGGGGGGAGACCAGCAGGAGTTGCTTTGGCTGGAGCCTACGGATGCGCCTCCTCCTCATCTAGCTCGGTGCACGGTTCCATCTTCTTCAGCTCAAGGTCCCTGTCTAGTGTCCATCATCTTCTTAAACCGTGAGTCACAACCTCATCTGGGCTCATGTAACTGAGTGTGGACGTTGCAAAGAATGTGTCAATAGTACATGGCTTCTGAACACACACCAACTAAAACTTCATTCAAAATGTAGTGAATAGAAAGTGTTTCTGGCTCTGCTCACACACGTGGTGTGGCGTGACATCAGTGAGGCCTTGAGACACGCACGCTTTGCATTACACATGCCTTCCCTCCCCACCCCAGTGAAACACGCGGGCTCAGATGGGAGTCTACAGTAGGTTATAAATGACACCATTTCTGCTGCCCATACAATGTGTTCCTCTTACAGAAATATAATCGTTTACTTACAGGAGGCAAAGGTGTTTAACATTTTTCAGTTGTCATTTGTCAGTATATAAGTATCAAATCAGTATCTCTTCGGATTTGTATTACAATGTTTGATTTTACTTTTTTATTTTTAGAAAGCAAAAAAATAATTAATGTGTATATGTGTTTTGCCTCATGTAACTCTTACTGAGTTGTTAGATGCTTGTCTAGATGCCAGAAGCCCTGGATCAACCCCCAGCACCACATTAGCTGAGCATGTGCTTGTAAACCTAAGATGCAGAGACAGAAATGTCAGGAGTTCAGGGTCAGCCTCAGCTAGTCAGCAGGTGTGAAGTCAGGCTGGGATCCCGGGATTCTGCCTCAAAATCAAACCAAACCAAACAGCTAGGCACACTCCTTCGACACCAGCATGTGGGAAGCAGAGGTAGGAAGCTGGAGGAATTTCAGGACTCAGAGCTGGCCCTGTTCAACACCAGCCTGAGCTAAATGAGACCCTATCACAAAACAAACAACAATCAATCGATCATTAAGCGAAGTCCACATTACTCATTTTGTGAAACAGCACAGCCGCAGAAGCCAGGGTGGCGTGGCCACATAGGGGAACTCACTCTCCGGGGTAAACCACCTTAGTCCAAAACGAGAACCTTCGGAGGAGAAAAGGCAAAGAAAAGCAAGATCAAACCCACACAATCAGGTGAAAGCTGCCTTAGCATCCTCTTCCCTAAATCAAGAGCACGGCTAACAGGAAAACCTTCCTCAAGGGGTGAGCATGGGGTAGACAGATATTCTGCTCTCTCCTGGGAAAGGTCCCAGTGACTTGAGTTTGATCCCCAGGACTCACAAGGTGGAACTGGAGAACCAACTCCTTACAAGCTGTCCTCCAACCTCACACAAATGCCATGGCCTATGCATAGGCCAGGCACACACACACACACACACACACAAATGTAAAACAAAACATTTACATTTCTATTTACTTTGTGTGAAGTTGTCAGTTGGTTGCAGTTTTCGGATAAAAGCCGTTTCAGAAAGGTTCATTTCTCTTGCAATGTGCTGATGAGAGTCTTCATCCAATGTCTGAAATAGAAAAAAAGAAAGATTATGGAGAGCCTGGAAACACAGATCTGACTTAACAGCTCATCGGCATCAAAAGTCGTATGCTTGGCATAGGGTGCACACCCTAAATCCCGGACTCTGGAAGGAGAGGGAGGTAGATCTCTGTGAGTTGGAAACCAGTCTGATTTACAAAGTGAGGTCCAGGACAGTTAAGGCTACATAATGAGACCATGTATAAGAAAAAGAAAAAGAAAAAAGTTATATGCTTAAAAGGAAATTCAAATTACATGGTAAAGAATTAAAGATTCTGTGTGTGTGTGTGTGTGTGTGTGTGTGAGATACCTCTCTGGGAGTGTCTATTTTGTTGTTTGTTTGGGTTTGGGCTTTTTTTTTTTTTTTTTTTTCATTTTAGATTTTTGTGGTTTCTTGTTACCCAATGAGCTTTACTAGGATTGCTTACAAGAACATGAATGACAGCGATTTAAGCATCATGAGCAATTCAGCTGCTGCACCACTGAAGAAAACGTGTCGTCCCCCCCCCCCCCCAGCCACTAACTGCCTAGAAATCCTCTGAGAGGAGCAGGACCTCAGGAAGCACTGCTCTGAAACTCATTCTTTGTCCTGCCTCTGCGTCCTGAAGGCTGGGATTACAGGCATGTGAGTGCACACTCAGTTGACATGGTGCTGAGCCCCAAGTCAGGGCTTTGTGCACGGGCAAGCACTCCACCAACTGAGTCACAAACTCAGCCCCATTTCCTTTACTCTAACAAAGAAAAAGGTTTTAAAAGCCAGTCACATTGACACGTGCCTGTAATCCCAGTACTTGAAAGGTGAAGGCAGGAGGATCATGAGTTCAGTCATTCTCGGCTAGATAGCAATTTTAAGGCTACCCTGGGCTACATGAGACCTTATCTCCAAAACAAAATGATTGATAGATGATAGATAGAGAGATAGAGAGACAGAGAGAGAGGGGGGTAGAGAGAGAGATGGATGATAGACAGATAAATGATTGATAGTAGATAAATGGATGATCAATAGGTGGTTGATAAATATAGATAGAAAGATGACAGATAAATGATTGATATAGTAGATAAATGGATGATAGACTAGATAGATAGATAGATAGATAGATAGATAGATAGATAGATAGATAGGCAGGCAGGCAGAATTTTTCATTTTGAATGGCTCAAAGCTCAGGCTTTAACCTGACACTCTATACTGTCTCACCATCACAAGCTCTTGTTATCCACTAACACTTCACAGAAAGGCAAGGCACCAGCAAGCAGAGAAACATGGACTATTGAAAAGTTTCTAAGGAGCAGCAGTGAGTACCAAGTGGGCTGGCAGAAGGAATTTGATGGAGTCCTGGGCCCTTCCCCAGACCTGCTCAATCAGACTGTCCTCTCAAACAAGACGCCAGGGGATCTGGGAGTGCATTAAAGTCTGAGAAGTCCTGGTGTGTAAGCCACAGCCCGGTGTGCAAGGGACTCAGTATCAAGATGGAAGCCAGGACACCTACCGGAAGCAGTAGTGAGCAATGCTAGAGAGCAGATCTTTGAGGCATGGAGGGTTGGTTTGTTTGGGGGCTGGGGGGGTTGGAGGCTGGATCCAGGTGTTGCCCAGGCTCTTCCCAGAACATGTGTTCTGCACTGAACTTTACCGTCAGCCTTGATATACAAAGATTTTTAACAAGATGTACGGTGCTTTTAAAGATGCTCACAACCATCTGTAAGTCCAGTGGCTGTGGATCCAGTGCCCTCTTCTGGCCCCTGCCAACATCAGGAATGTACCCGGTAGACACACACACTTGCGGGCAAACACTCAATGAAATAAAAATCAATCTTTAAATATACGAATTTAATGAAAAGGTCTCGTGCTGGATCTGGGCAAAAGGTCAGGTTTGGGTAAGGTAGGTGGAAAATGAAAGTCTGGCATCAGAGAAGAGTCTTAGGCAAGTCATAGCCTTACTTCTGTTCTCCTAAAGTCAGGAAGTAAAGTACATCTGTGGGTGAAGGCCCTGAGGATCACCCATGGCATGCACACTCAGAAACACACACACAGATTTTCATTTCATTACAATATTTATCTTTCCATTTTATACTATAAGCTTCTTTTTGCACATAAGTACAAAGCTGATCTGAGGACGTGACTCAGTGGTAGAACACAATTTGGATTGTACAACATCACCCCCTCAAGTAACCAGACCCCCCTCCCCAATTCAAGGAATATACTGGAGTCTGCTTAAGGAGTGTTAGGGGATTTATTAGGATATAAAGTGAGGAAATGCACTCACGAATACAGAACTGAGTAGACAGCTGAAGTCATCCTCTGATCTGACCAGGAGTGAATCCACTTGGCAGTTCGACCAGACCAGGAAGCAGAAGAAGGGACCTTGTGACCCCTCTCCCTTTCCTTTTAAGAAGTCACATATGATGGCAAGAAGCACTGCCTCCTTCGGGTCATGGGTGGAGCAAATACCACTACACCCCCAAAATAACCAGACCCGGCTGTTTGGTTTGGTTTGTTTGAGACAGGGTCTCATGTAGCCTCAGCTGGCTGAGCTATGTAGCTAGGATGACCCTGAACTTCGGATCCTCCTTCCTCCATCTCCCAAGCTCCGGAACCATAGACTGCACCACCAGGCCCAGCAGCCCTCCTGCTTCAACATCCATTTCCCTTTGGCGTCCTAGAGGGGATCAAATCTCCAATACCGAAAGCAAAGTGATGTTTGCTGTTCAGAGGGCCAGTGTCTGGGGTTTGAGACAAGGTCCTAACATCTTAGGATCCACAGGATTATTGGGGGGGGGGGGGCATAAAGTTTTATTTTATACTCCCATCTTGTGGCAATATAGAGACATGGCAACCTTCATGTGACAGCTTGTCTTCTGGGTCTTTTTTTTTTTTTTTTTTTTTTTTTTTTTTTGGTTTTTCGAGACAGGGTTTTTCTGTGTAGTTTTGGTGCCTGTCCTGGATCTCGCTCTCTAGACCAGGCTGGCCTTGAACTCACAGAGATCCGCCTGCCTCTGCCTCCCGAGTGCTGGGATTAAAGGTGTGCGCCACCACTGCCCGGCGTCTTCTGGGTCTTTGTCGCTCTGCTGTTAGACTTCAGAGAAGCCAGAGCGCTTTGGTACAGGAGGTGCTATAAACACCCAGGAAGCCCCTGGGACCCCTTCCCCTGCATCTGAACCTCTGGAAGAGGCACTGTCTATAGCTTCTTGTGTCCCTAATAGTTCTTATGGAAGTTGGGGATGGAGCTCAGTGGCAGAGCAAGGATGTACTCAGTGGTAGAGTACTTGCCTAGCATGACTAAGGCCCAGCACCTCCAGTTAAAAAATTCAAACTCTGTCATATAACCCAAAGTTTATACTCACTGTTTTATTTTAGGCCTCATACATACCGGGCAAGATCTAGCCTACCAAGCCACACCCTTAGACTTCATACTCACTTTTTATGCCTTGTCCAATCCACTCCAAGGTAAGCCCAAAAAATTAGTGACTGCTGGTTAACAAGAATTCTTTCTTACTACTACTATTACTAGCTAGGTAGAGTTATGTGTATCTGCATGTGGGTATGTGCACATGAGTGTAGGTACCCAAGGAGGACAGAAGCATTGGATCCCCTGAAGTTACAGATGGTTGTGAGCTGCCATCGGGGCGCTAGGAATTGAACCCAGGTCCTCTGGAAAAGCAACAAGTGCTCTTAACCACTGAGCCATCTCTCCAGCTCCTAACGAGAATTCTGAAGGGTTTGCCATAATTCAGGTGATTGTAACTTTTTCATATTGGTCTACATGTTCCATCTCTCTGTCTTTAGCCCAAGAATTCTGAGAGGTTTATTGTATTTCTTACAGAATTATTATTATTTGTCTGCCTGAGTGTTTTGCCTGCATGTATGTCTGTGCACCACGTGTGCCTGGTGCCTGTTTAGTTTGGAGGAGGGCACTGGATCCTCTAGATCTGGAGTTACAGATGGTTGTGAGCCACTATGGGATTCTGGGAACTGAACCTGAGTATTCTGCAAGATTAGCCAGTGCTGCTGCTGCTTCTTTTTTGTTGTTGTTGTTGTTGTTGTTGTTTTCCCTGTCCTGGAACTCACTTGGTAGCCCAGGCTGGCCTCGAACTCGCAGAGATCCGCCTGGCTCTGCCTCCCGAGTGCTGGGATTAAAGGCGTGCGCCACCACCGCCCGGCCCTATTTATTTATTTTATATTATTTATTTATTTATATATTTATATAATTCATTTATTTATTATGTATACAGCATATGTGACTGCAGGCCAGAAGAGGGCACCAAATCTCATTCAAGGTGGTTGTAAGCCACCATGTGGTTGCTGGGAATTGAACTCAGGACCTCTGGAAGAGCAGTCAGTGCTCTTAACCACTGAGCCATCTCTCCAGCCCCCGTCTTTGCTTTTATCTGGTATACAATATTATGGGTTCCTTGTATGTAAGTTTCAAGAGATAAATGTCTTGAAAACAAAATAGAATATTATAGAAGCTCTTGGGATATTCTTGTTTAGAACTGTTCCTTTTCTTTACACAACTTTTTGTTGGTTTTGTTTTGTTTTTGAGATATAGCCCCACACAGCCCAGACTGGCTTGGAACTTCCTATGTGGCTGGGGTTGACCTTTAACTCCTGATTACAGGGGTGCTCCACCAGTCCTGATTTATGTGGGGCTAGAGATCAAACCCAGGGCTTCACACTGCTGAGACACATTCCCAACCCCTACGTCAGCCTTTTATCAAGTTTTCAAAAAGTTCAAAGTACAAAGTTTAGCCTAAGTCTCATCTCAGTCAAATCGTTTTGGTTTTTTGAGGAGGGTTTCTCTGTGTAGTTTTGGAGCCTGTCCTGGAAATCACTATGTAGATCAGGCTGGCCTCGAACTCACAGAGATCCAACTGCCTCTCCCTCCCGAGTCCTGGGATTAAAGGCATGCGCCACCACCGCCCCGGCCCAGTCTTTCTCATTTTAATGTCCTCCATCCCTCCTTCCATCTTCTAAGTCTAGAAGAATCTTAGGCTATACTTAAATCTTTTTTTGGAGGGGGTGGTTTTCAAGACAGGTATGCACCCCACATCCTGGCTATACTTAAATCTTTATTTCCTAGGTTTTGAGTATGTTGCAAATAAACAAACAAACACAGCAAGAAAACAAAAAAAGAAAAAGATAAGTAACATAAAACATATTTTAGCCAGGCTGTGGTAGCACATGCCTTTGATCCCAGCACTCTGGAGACAGAGGCAGGCGGATCTCTGTGAGTTTGAGACCAGCCTGGTCTATAGAGTGAGTTCCAGGACAGCCAGGGCTGTTACACAGAGAAACTCTGTGTCAAAAAAACAAAAAACCAAAAGCATATTTTAATAGGCAAGCAGATAAAGACAGAGAGGGCTGGAGGGGCAGCCCAGCAGTTAAGATTACTGACTATTCTCCCAGAGGTCTCGGGTTCAACTCCAGCACCCACATGGAGGCTCACACCGTCTAAAACTGCAGTCTCATGGAATCTGAGGGCCTTTTCAGGTGTGCAGATGTACATGCAGACAAAACACCCAAGACATAAAACAAATAAATCTTTTTTTAAGAGAGAGAGACAGATCCTTTAGCTCCAGTGTTTATTGATATTAGTGTTCTGGAGATAATCAAATTTATGAAACAACACAAATTATTATCTGGTGAAAACGCAGCTCCATAGACTGTCTCAAATATATACACATATATATTTACATATATTTATATGTAAATTATTAATCTATACATAGACACATATTTATACCTATAAATATGTATGTGAGTATGTATATATACATACACAAGTATATCTATTATATATACACATATACATATATGAGTGACATGGAGACATGGGACAGATATAGTTAAACTCTTGACAGGCAATTACAGCTGATTCCACAACTGTTTGACAGGAAGTCGTTCTTGCCAGATTGATCCTATAGAAGGTTCTAAATTTGGAACCTGGAATCTGGTTGCTAATTATTCTCTCAGTAATCTTCCCAAGCTCTTGTCTTACTAGATAAGACCTAGTAATTCCTTTACCCTCTGTGGCTAACTGCAGGGTTACTTAATGGATTCATAGCTGGGATGAGATGAGGGTCATCTCTCTAGCCCCAGATAACCAACTCCTTTATGTGAACTGCTCTAAATAAAAGGGTAAGATTTGCCGGGCAGTGGTGGCGCACGCCTTTAATCCCAGCACTCGGGAGGCAGAGGCAGGCGGATCTTTGTGAGTTCGAGGCCAGCCTGGGCTACAGAGTGAGATCCAGGAAAGTCGCAAAGCTACACAGAGAAACCCTGTCTCGAAAAACCAAAAAAAAGAAAAGAAAAAAAAAAGGGTAAGATTTACTTTATTTCAGTTTTTGAGACAGTTCTCATTAATAGTCCAGGCTGGCCTCAAACTCATGATCCTCCTGCCACCTCTCTTTTTTTATTTGGCTCCAGTTACTTTTTATGTGAGTGTGTGAGAGTGTGTGTGTGTGTGTGTGTGTGTGTGTGTGTGTATAGAAGACAGAGGACACTTGCAGGCACTCTGTTCTCTCCTTCTACCATGTGTTAGGCTTGGCAGCAGGTACCTTTACTCACTGAACCCTCTCACTGGTCCCAGGTGCAGCACCAAAGGACAATTTACAAGAGTCAGCTCCCTCCTTTTACCATGGAAGTCTTGGGGATCGAACTCGGGTCCTCGGGCTTAGCAGCAAGCACCCTTACCTGCTGAGTCATCTTGCAGGGCACTGAAGAGAATCTATATTTCTGAGGTATAGATGAGGCAGCAGCCAGGCATGATAATGAACCCTGCAAGCCCAGCACTCAGGAGACCGGGACAGGTGGAGTCTGAGGGTAGCATGGGCTACTAGAGTGTTCCAAGCCAGTCAGAGTAGCATAGTGGACCCTGTCTCACCTGCCCCTGCTGAAAAGCCCCAGGATGTCCACATAGAAATGCCAAATGACGTTTCAGCCATTCCTACCCACAGATCTCCTGTAATTTTGTGCTTAGTTTTTGGTGCTAATTAAACAATATCCTAATTCTGAAAGGAAGCTCCAGTCATTCTTTTATAAAATAATTTTTGATTGTTACTTTTTATTTTTGTAAGATTGTTCTCTATAAGGCCCAGACTGGCCTCAGAGTCATGATCCTCCTGCCTTAGCCTTTGGAAAATCAGAAGTCATGGGCTCTGCACACATCTAGGATTCCAGGCACGGCCCTTGAGAACAGAGGACTTACATTTTCCACGAGGCAGACGGCAGCAGGATTGCCCTGGAAAGCTGTTGCCGTGAATGCATCCGCTATGAAAATCGGGAGCTTCATTTTCCTCGCCGGCTCTGTCTGGGAGGTCCCGGCCTTGCTGGGAGCCTGCTTCACTTCCTGTTGTTTAAAAAAAAAAAAAAAAAAAAAAAAGTTAATGTTTTACTCCTACAAACACAGTTAACGATTCCCAGATAAAAAGTCAATTACTCCAACATACCTATACCGAAAGATGTGTGATTCCCCTACTTTTTAAAGCCGCTGCATTTAATTTGTTTTAAAACACTAGCTACACGAAGTGGAGTGGTGGTGATCCACACCTTTAATCCCAGCACTTAGGAGGCAGAGGCAGGCGAATCTCTGTGAGTTTGAGGCCAGCCTGGGCTACAGAGTGAGTTCTAGGACAGCTAGGGCTACACAGAGAAACCCTGTCTCATACTAGCTAAATGAAATATTTTTCATGCCACACACAGAACTGTGCAAAACAATCACCCTCCTTCCTAGAGTAGCCAAAACTAGCTGTGGCAGTAATTTTAAGGAAGTTCATGAGACGTCTGAGAGGCACAGGTTTTGTTTGCAGTCTTCCCATGCAGACAAGCTCTCCTCTCAAGGTCAAGCATGGCATTGCTCACCTGTGATTACCCTGTGGGAGGCTAAGGTAGGATTGAGAGCAAAGCCAGCAGTTCGAGGCCAGCATCATCTACAGAGTGAGTTCCAGGACAGCCAGGACTACACACAGAAGGCATGTTTCAAAAAGCAAACTCTAAATATATATATAGTATGTATCTATAATACACACACATATATTCTTAAAGTGTGTGTATGTGTGTGTGTGTGTGTGTGTTGAGGATAAACCCAGGGACTCAGTCATGCTAAGCACAAGGTTTACAACTCCCAAAGCTCCCAATTTTTTGAGTTTGTGGGGGAGAGGTTTCCTTACCTTACTGCACACACTGGCCCCAGATACTGGGGCTCAAGTAAATCCTTTGCCTCATAGCATGGATATACCACCACACCCAGCTCTGGCTTTGTATGTGGTTTTTAATGAAATTCATTGCTGAAGAATAGAATTCTACCCTTAACTTTTTAAGTTTCTAGAAACACTTCCCAAACCAACAACAACAAAAGTCTTAAAAGAATAGATCTCAAAAGCTCTAATAACCCGTCATTCACTTATTCAACAAGATGTCCCTATCTCTCCACCTGCAACATACCCAACTCCACCTTCTCTTCCTCAAAGAACTTGGGTTTTGTTTTGGCTTCAGGGATGCGCCGGGTCCCTGCCGGTTCAGGACAATCTCATTCCCTTTGCCAGATGCTCGATCTTAAAAGACTGTCCTACAGCTAGATGGTGACAAGTCTCAGAAGTGGCTAGAAAGATTCTGGGAGGAATATTCTGTCTCTGATGAATGGGAACAGAGCTAAGAGCATAGGCTACCCCATCCTTTCCCTTTCCCCCTGAGCTGAACATGTTGATACCAGAAATGCAACAGCCTGGTCTTTGGACCACGACAAGCAAGGAGACAGAAAGCTTAGGGACTAGACACGGGGAAAAGAGTGTGCTTTCTGGTGCCTGCTAGATGACCTTAAGTGTTCTACCTCTAAACTTCCTGCCTGAGACATAGTAAATGTCCCAAAGTAGCAGCCAAAATAATCACTCCCCAAAGTTGTCCGAATTGTAACTCTCAAGAACCCATAAGTATGTTTTGTAACTAGCAAGAGGGAATTAGGTTGAAGTTTAATCAACTGATTATTCTGGATTATTAGAACCCCCAGGTAAGGATTTTTTTTTATAAGTACTGAGGATTAAACCCAGGACCTCAGACAGGCTAGGCAAAACACTCTACCGATGAGCTAAATCCCCAGCCAACAGGGATCTTTAATGGTGGATCTTTAATATGTGTGTATATGTGATGACTATTTTTTGGTTGTCAATTTGACCACATCTGGAATTAACCAACACCCAAGTAGCTGGGTACACCTGTGAGGGATTTTTTTTTTTTAATTAAATCATTTGAAGTAGGAAGACACACCTTTACTCCAGATCTTTTGAGGTGGGAAGTTCCGTCTTTGTTTGGTTTTTCAAGACAGGGTTTCTCTGTGTAGCTTTGCGCCTTTCCTGGAACTCACTCTGTAGCCCAGGCTGGCCTCAAACTCAGAGATTCCCTGCCTCTGCCTTCTGAGTAATGGGATTAAAGGCATGTACCACTGAGCCCGGCAGAAGTTTCATCTTTTTTTAAATTTTTAAAAAAGATTTATATTTATTAATTAATACATACAGTGTTCTGTCTACATGTGTCCTTGCTGGCCAGAAGAGGACACCAGATCAGACGGTTGTGAGCCACCATGTGGTTGCTGGGAATTGAACTCAGTACCTTTGGAAGAACAGTCAGTGCTCTTAACCACTGAGCCATCTCTCCAGCCCTGGAAGATCCATCTTTAATCTGGACCACACCTTCTGGCAACAGCCTATATAAAGACCATGGAAGGAGAAAGCTGGTTATCTTTGCCTGCTTGCTCTTGCTGCAAGTCCATTCCTTCACCAGCATTAGTGCCTACTTCTTCAGGATCCTGGCATAGACAGAAGACCAGCTGAGACAGCCAGCCTCATGGAATCAACAACTTTGGGATTCTTGGAACTTCTGTTTGTAGACAGCCATTGTTGGACTAGCTGGACCACAGCCTGAAAGCCATTCTAATAAACCCCCTTTATATGCATATCTCATTCATTCCATCAGTTCTGTTTTTCTAGAGAACCTTGACAAATTCGATATATATTGCAATGTGTGTGTATGCAATGTATATATGTTTATGTATATGTATATATATATATATGTATACATTAGATTTGAAGATGCTATTCTTCTGACTTCAATGATAGAGGAAGGCACCAGAAACTAAGGAACATGAGTGACCTTTAAGAGGTAGAAAAGGCAAAGGGCAAATCCCCACCTCCCACCCCCAAAACCTCCAGAAAGAACAGATCTGTGTTAGTCAACTCAGGATGCCAGAACAAAACACCACAGACTGTCTTAAACACAGATTTATTTTCATAGTTTAGAGGCCAAGAATTCCAAGATTACAACGTGGATGATTCAGGTCCTGATGAAGGTGATTTTCCCACCTTATAAAAACTCTTTTCTATGGAAGGCTGTGGGGAGTCCAGTTCCTACCTTTCCTACCTTTTCTAGGGTTCTTAGGAGGAGGAGAGAGGGATAAGAAATATTAGATAGAACGAGAGACCTAGTTGATGAGAAGAAAGACAGAAACACAGGATAGCTTCAGGAGGGCCTGGATCACTACCCAATGGCCTCTTCTGTTTATTCAAAAGGGCTTTTTATAACAATGCCAAGGTTTGGGGGGGGGGCAAAAGACCTCCCCCTTGCTAGATCAAAGCACACTACACAGCCAAGTGTAGACCCTTCCAAACACTTAGTAACCACGCCCTTGCTCAAACCATCCCCTTATGCAGCCCTGCTGGGTAAAGCAAGCTCAAATTCTGAGACCCTGAGTACGACTCAGAAAAACTGCTTATGTTTGCCAGGTTAATAGGAGGAATATTTTAAAGCATGGGCTGAGGAGACGAATGGGGAGAGGTATAGGAGAAGGAGCTTCCAGGCCAGAAACTTCCTCATTTTTGGCTACAGGAAGTTTTCCAAACCCTGTCCCTAAGACTCATTGCATAAGTGTTATTGAAACAGGTTAGGGATGCACTTAGATAAAAGGGCACGCCTTAATGCTACTTGGCCTGGTGGAAGACGTCTAAAAGGCTGTCTGTTCAGACGTCCCTCTCTGTGCTTCAGTCCTTCCTCTCCGGTGTCGGGCACCACCCCTTCTGAAATGGCATTTTATCACCTGCTACCAGATGTGGGTGCTGGGAACTGAACCCTGGTCCACGGCAAGAGTAGCAGATACTCTTAACCCCTGAGGGATCTCTCTAGCCCCAGGTTTCTCTTATTCATAACTCGGGTTTCAATCCTCAATTTGGTATGAATATACACTCTTTTAATAAACAGAAAGTACAGAAAAGGTTAATGTCCCTTTGACACCTATCTTTCTGGCCCTGAGTCACATGACAGAACACTGAAACTGTCCCTGAAATCTAATATTGGGTCCACTTAACCAAGCAAATGTGAAGGAATCATGTCCCTGTGTCTAGTAGGTTAGTCCTGAGCCTCCCCTTGGGGGTGCCTGGGAACACTGTGGTTTGCTTGGAGCTTTTTTATTTGTTTGTTTTTCAAGACAGGGCTTCTCTGTGTAACAGTCCTGGCTGTCCTGGAACTCGATCTGGAGACCAGGCTGGCCTCAGACTCGCAGAGATCCTCCTGCCTCTGCCTCCCGAGTGCTAAGATTAAAGGCGTGAGCCATTGTGCCCAGCTCTGCTTGTAGCTCTCTAGCCTTTTGTCCATAGTCTCCTTTGGCTACAGATGTGACAGAGAGGATTTCCGACTATCCTGTAGCTGTTCACATTAGAAACTCACTGTGAGTGTTGCCTCTGAACTAGGGTGCTCTATCATACACAGCAGTTCTGGTCTTTGACATTGTAAAATGTTCATTAGCCGAGTGCTGCCAGCCTCTGTGAACATGAATGTTGGGAAATTTTTGTTTTCATTTGTTTTAAAGAAAATAACAAAAATTATCTGGTGTCCTGATGTTTTTCTGAGTTAGAGCAGCACAATCCCGCAGCTTGTTTATGACGGCAACCCCCACCCCCACCCCCCCACCACCCCCCCCCCACCCACCCCCACCCCCCCCGCAATGCCCATCAAAAACTGGCTGGGTCCTTTCTACTCCTGTATAAGGAAACCACACTTGACTAAGCAACTGTGACGGATATTTATATTTTGAATTTTAAATTTTTGTATATAATAATCTCACAGTTAGACTCATCAATTTTTATAGAGCTTTGTAGAATCTTGCTCTTTTGAAATTAATACCTTTAATTCTAGTACTTGAGAGGCAGAAAGCAGGAGGATCAAGAGTTTGAAGTAGCTAGGTATGGTGGCACATGCCTTTGATCCCAGTACTCAGGAGGCAGAGGCAGGTGGATCTCTGAGTTCGAG